ATAATACTATAATCTTTATTAACGTTAGTTTCACAGTTTATGTTATCTATACGATTGTATACATATAGCTTAATTAATTTGATTGGATGGTCTATTAGTTTGTCACTTGAATGCAAATCCAACAATATAATTAGTCAGGACACATGTTCTAACCAATTAAATTGCTGGATTTATGTCCAAGCAATAACATTGGATGGTCTTATTTGAAGAATTATAATTCAGGATCTGATAAAGCTAACGATTTTATGGAATAAGTCCAAAACGATCTTTTTCAGTCCTGGGACCGGACCAGACTGGACATATATTTTAACATCGCTAGAAACTCGTCAAAATTTGCGATGGTACCAACGAAATGAAAAAACTAGATATCTAACAATGAAAGAATACCAAATTTTCACATTCAGGAAACTTGATATGAAACAAAACTGGAAACTGGTCGCGTAAGCTGTTAGTTGTTATAAGTGAGTTTGGCCGTCATTTTCGTTTTGCTGGTGTTGCGAATTTCTCCAGGTTGCGATCAGATTCCAATTTTAATTTCATGGCGGTGGTGTATTTGGCGTTTCTTTTCGTTGGTGAGAGTCCCAGCAAGAATTTTGCTGGACCAAACCACAAAACAAGACATTTGTTTTTGTTTTGATAGCAATGGTGTTATGCAGAATTCAGCCAATCATTGAATGTGTTACAGATATAGGTCATGTGCATCAAGTCAATCCGGATAATTATGATTATTCGAGTTGACTTAAGCCTTAATTCACTACATGGCTTTAACGGTCCCCTGATTTGGTGCTGAAAATTTGACCAGTGACGCAGCAATTGTGACTCGCACTGTACATTTTTACATTTAGTTCTTCTTTCTAGCAACTTATAATGAGCAAATTAAGAATTGCTTATAAAGAATCATATCAAACGACAAATAAGTGCAATTATTTAAATTATCTTTATCTAAAACCAATTAAATATTGATATTATAAACCTACTCTGTATTGTTTACTGCATTGGCAACCTCAATGAGAGAAACAAAGCCAATATACACGTATCTGCACTATATTTCCCAGTTTTCTTGGTCATGCTTTAGTTAGTGCGATATTTATTATTCCGAACCTTTGTAATATATTACCAATTCTTCCACGCTAAAGCACTATTTGAAGCTGTAGAGTTATTCCAACTTTTTGAAGAATTGAACAATGACAAAAGGTGCAAATTGTACAAGTAAAGGTCAACGAACTTTGGCACACATTTCTATTGATAAAATAAATAATTATAATTGAATTTTAATAATCTAAAAAGAGATTAAATGTTAATTGTGCGAAATCAAGTTTTAGTGAATTATACATAGTGCTCCAACCGGGTCGGATTGGGGTCAAATCTGACCCGAAATATTTCGGGCCAGCCTAAAAATCGTTATTTCTCATTCAATATTAATTGGGATTAAACGAAAATTTGTGGGTATCTACACAATTACATTCGATAACTCTACTTAAACACCAAATACAAGTGTCTTAGTAAAAATAACTAAAAACTATTTTACGATTTTCGGATCAAACCCGATCCGAATCCGACCCGAACAGAGCTTTAATTATAAAGATCAAAATGAAAACTTTGGGGATAACGAGAATACATCTGCACAGTTTCTAAGTTTACTCAAAATTGTGCATACAAAAGATAATGGGTATTTTCGGAACAAAATCTTTAGCCATGATAACGATAAGGTGCTTTTTTATCAGTGTATTAGAATGAGTATTTTTCAATACATTCTTTATGTGCACATATGTAACAATATACGTAATTATTAAAAAAAGAAGCTATTTTTGATTGTTATATAAAATGGAAAAATATAATCAAATATTGACTTTCATTTACGTACCATTATTATGCAGACGATCAATGCATCATAATGGCATTATGGTATATCATTTGTTGTGCAAATCCAAGGATAACATCATTATAAGATAATGATGTATCGTTGTTTATACAGATACTTTATCCTTAGGGGAACCTTATCTTGCAGTCTGTACACAGCCTCAGCAATTGTTCTAAGAATCGTAATTAAACAAAGGATTGATATCTATACATATTAATATAGATTAAGATAAGAATCTTGTTGCATCTGTAATAAATATATTTGTCTAGTAAGTTTTTATGTTTCACATGGTATTACTATTTTGTTATTACATATTGTATCGTGCTGCTTACGGTGCCCAGAATCTTGTTCAATTTGAAATTGAATAGCACTTTGTACACTGCGATTTCATTGGTGAAAAGGTGGGATACTCTATGAGGGGATTCACGGTAGTTAATTCAATTTTAGCTTTATTATTGAAAACCTGTTTTTTATTTCATAATATAAAAAGATGCTTTACGTGTGTTTTACAAACACGTAACCTGCAAATACATAAAAATATAGAAGAAGCAGACTTTACAACCGAAATTCGCGCAGATATTTTTAAGGGCAATTTAAAAATTTGTTTATGCTTTTCTGAAGAAAAGAATCCAGGTACAAAAATTAGATTATCTTTATCAGAAACGTGTCTTTTAAAAATGATTTTTGGAATGATAAAGCAACATATAGCGATAAGACAGAATAGAAGGTTTCAACGCAATATAAGCAAGCTGTTATTTTGATGTAAGGAATAACAGGTAACTACAATTTTTTTCTTTGTCTCCTAAAATATAAATCGTGTTTAATAACAGGTTATTCGACAAAAACAGCTTGAGCCAGAGAAAAGTAAACTTTATCTTTTACTCCTTGAATTTTAAAACTCTTTATAATGACAATAGCAATCAAGTAACGAGACATTGAGAATTTTCTATACCTTAATACTGTGTCGTTACTATTGTAATTGTTATGTTATATATTTCAATCAATCATGAGGTCACACAGAAAGCTGCGAAATCAACTATTCTTTTGATTATGTGTCTTTACCTAACTCACTAATGCATTTTATCAGTAATCAATCAGTCAATTAATCTTTCTGTTTTTTTTTAAGCAAACGCTATTTTCTATTTCTTAGATGAATTATCAAGTACGTCATACATATAATTTATAGTTTAGTAGCTTGATCAATATAAATATTTTACAAAACGAGTAATTTCGTAAACATAATTTTATATTTATAATTTACGACTTAAAATGGCGTTTATTATTTGCGTATGAGAATTTCCTTAACAGTCATTCTATAGAGCCAAAATTAGCTAACAAGCTTACGTATTTAATAAACATAGTACATGTATTTGCATTTTTGCTCCAAGTATATATTTGCACTAATTTTGTGTATAAAATCGCTGTATTTTTTTTATCTAAGAAACATATACAAAAATTGTGTATATCTGACTCACTTTATAGTAAAAAATTTTGGTTAGAGGTCAAAGTTTAATATACTTATATCGAGTATAATTTATATAAATTATAGGATTTTTCTTATCATAGTAAGTGTATATTATAAAGTTCCATTCAATTAATTGATTCATACATATTTATATATACATCACTTAGTTAGTATTAGTGGCAAAGCAAGATCCCTGTTTATAAATTTTAAATTGCAGTACATGTAAGTAATGCAGAAAAAAATAAATATCAAGAATTCAAATTATTATGTTTTTAATTCACCCATGAAATAATGCTTCTTATCAAAGTAACTATATGAAGATTTACAATCAGTTATATCTGGGTGATGGTCATTACCGTTACGTAAAACAAAGGTAATGAAAGTATACAATCGATATCGAAGTAAGTATATAATTATTATTTTTTACTTTGTGATGTCATAAAAATTATAAGAAAATCCAAAGCCTAAGAAAAATTGTAATTATTCATATCACTAATATTTTTTCTCTTTAATTTTGCGCAAAATTTTTTTTTGAGATCATATCAAAGTTACTAAATATGATGTACAGTACAGTCAGCTCTGTATATAACGAACCTTTTTACAGTATTATTGTTCCGAAATTAAACACTTGTCCTTGTTATATAAAGTAAAGGAGGATATTGTGGCGGATCAAAAAACAAGCTTAAAACATAGATAACTATGGTAATAATATTGTAAATATGTGCTTAAGAATTGTATACATTTATTTTAAAAATATAATGGTAATTTCTTACAATATAAAAAACACCACAATACCATTCGCCCATTACCGGATTAATAAAATAATATACAGCACACAAACTACATGTGAACTATATGCGAACTACAGTCAAACCCCTCTATAGTCACACCCGTTTATAGTCACACCCCTCTATAGTCACCCTATTTTGCTTTCACATTTATATATAAACATAGTAAAAAACCCCTCTATAGTCACCAAATTTTGCTTTCCCCAGGGTGATGACTATAGAAGGATTTGACTGTATAAATAAAGCGGCAAATCATGATTTGATGGTAGGTTAAAGTTTAGTTTGATAACTAAGATATAATAAATATGATATAAAGAACTTGGCGTTGTAACAATTATGCAAGTTGTGGGTATTGTGAGTATTGTGATAATGAAACAATGCGTAAATGTACGGTTTATACCGTTTAGGTTAGTTAAAATATTTAAATGTGAATAGCATTATCGTTATTTGTCTTTTGTGCCATTTAACAATAATTAGTCAATGTAATTTATGCAAATTAAAGACATTTTTTTCCAAATGAACATATTACATTTTGTTTTCACAATAATCCGATTCTTTATTTTAGGCAAAAATCAAAGTTTAGAATAAAAAATACAAAATTTATTAATAAGTCATCTAATAAGAAATAGTAAAAAACGAAGAAAAAATCATACGAAAGTAATATCGCTATAAGCTAATGAACGTGAAAATCGAATGAAACAAAGAACCAACGAATGAAGATGAACAGAAGTATTAATGAACAGAAATATTGATGATTCGTGAGATCAAAGATTTAAAATTCGAATATATTATATATAAATATGAATCTTTCGAACTTATAATATTTGGTATCATATGACAATACATTAATATTGTATTGCTGTAATTTACGAAGAAATTTGTTGAATTACCCAGTTATATATGTAGAATCATAAGAAAGATATAATAGTTGAGCATGTGATGAGGGTGAAGAAATAAATGGTGTTGTTGGAATACTAGCGGTATTTGTAATGTCGACAGGTGTGCTTATCTGAGTTGAGTTATTCTTTACATCATTAAAGTTTTCGTCGAATAAACAACCATTATCAATCAAATTATTATCGTAAACTTGATGATTATTCGAGAACGCGCGAAGATTGTCGATCGATGTGGATAAAGTAGGCATAGTGATAGGATTCATGTTGTTAATGCTTACATCATTATGAGGGTTATACTGAGTTGTCGACGGTGTGGAACTGCATGAATTATCAGTGATATAATTTGTTAAGGGGGGCGACGCGTTAATTTCTATCACCCCTCGAAATGAAGTATCGTATGTTGAGCTAGACTTAGCAGATGAAGATGAAGTAGATGCGCGTTTTTTCTGTTCCCAAGGAATAAATCTTTTACAGCTTGAATATTTTACATTTCCTGGTTTAAATTTGTAATTAGGATATATATTCTTGTGATTCATATAAGCAATTTTCTCCAATAGTTTAAAAAAATCTTTGACTTCTTTTGATTTCCACTTTAAACTGCATTCCTTTGCTGTATCGGTAACTTTTATTTTGACATCAGGATTGCGTAGACGTAAATTAGCTTCATAATCTCTTCGGAAAATGATCCAACTGTTTTGTGGCCTTGGTGGCTTATCAGGATTGCCGCATTTTTTCGCAGAAGGATTAGTCAGTTCTTCAATCGTGAGAGTTAGTCTATAAGGACATTTACTTAAAAGTTCTTTTTTTGTTAAATCATCCATTTTAATGAATGCAATGATATCTAACTTGTTTTGATTAATCGATTAATTGATTATAATATAAATTTCTATTTTATTTATTTTCATGGTGAAATAGGAAAATTAAAATGCTTGTCTGATATCTTGTGGTGTATGATATCTTTTGCCGTCTGTGTCTCTCTTTCCTTTATTTATATATGCGAAGACATTTTAATTCTGATGATTAATTTTTTTGACTTGGTTATTTATACTATTAAATGATAATAAAAAATGAATTAAAATTGCGAGATAAATGATTTTTGTGTGAGTTTCTGTGAATTTAAGTTTACGCCCTTGACAGTTCAATACAAACAAGTGGCAGGCACGTAATAAAGTTTTTCCCAGAATTTTGATTATATTAGTATTTATATTAAGTATTATAGTTAAGTTGTAATTACCTATACCTTTAAATTGATTATATTGCGATTTCGCGATATCAAATGTGATTATATAGAGGTTGGACTAGACTTATCATGGTTGGTTTATACACCTTGCATTTATTATATTCCACTAATAATTCTAAATTAAGTAGTCATTGATTTAAATATGATAAATTCGGGCTAGCAGCAGACAACAACAATATATTCATTCGAGAAAACGAAGTATCATCTAAATACTAGAACTGGTTATCAATACGTAGACATATTGATATAAAATCCTACTCGAGACGTACGTATAATGTGTGACAATAATTTAAAATTTTTATTAATGGAACCAAGAATGTCGTTATAACGAGACCCACTTATATTGTGCTAATTTTATTTTAGATTATATATCATATTATAAATGTGCAATAATAAACTGATATATACAATATAAACAAAGAAAAAAAATTGTGCGAGTTTTTATTTTTAATTGCTGTGGTTATTATTTATTCAAGATAATTTGCGTGTCAAGTAAAATACCTTGTTGTACATATAACTCTCATTTGATCCCACACCTTTACAGATTTTTTAAAAAACCTCGTAACCGAATTTTGTTTTTGATTTTAAAACCCCATGACCGAATGTTTATACATTTTTAAATTATCTCCATCTTTTTTTAAAAAAACTCCATAACTAAATGTTTGTTTTAAAAAAACTCATAACCGAATGTTTATTTTTAAGAAAACCCCCATGACCGAATGTTTGTCTATACATTACTAACTTCAAGAATCCCTCAAAAGATCTTAATATCCGGTTCATTTCACGCAGTATATGTATATATAAATTGTTTATCACTATACTGGCCGACGAAACTCTCATATCTTGTACTGGGGGGGGGGGAGGGGTTGTCGATGAATTTGACAAGGTATTGGCATTGGCATTAGCATTGACATTAACAGTGGCATTGTGCATACGTAATACGTATACATACGCATTTGCTATTTTGTATTACATAAAATGTTCGTAATGGTAAATTTCCCATAACAATGAAAATAGCCTTATTTAAATAGATAATGTTCATCTAATACATGTAAGTACGTACGTAATCAGGTTTTATCTTTATTTGCATCTTTCTTTTCTTAATAAATGTACATGTATAATTATTATTGTTCTGTTCGATGATAAATAATTACAATGAGTTATAAAGGAGAAAATTAAAAAATCTAAACACAAAGAATAATCTAAACTCAGATAACAAAAATGATTAATTTAGAACCAAAGGTAAAATATCAATGTCCTGCGTGCTTATTGTGTATCTGTGCTTATTCACTTCTCATATATTAAGTTCGATAACTGTAGCATGGGGAGGGGTTAACGACGTCAATACAATTAACAAGGCTTAAATCGCAAATAAGGTTAGAATATAAGTGTGTGTATTGCATATAAAATATAATATATTTATTATAATTGTCGTGTTGAGTTGCCATTTGTTCGATATTTGTGCCAGATGCAAAGTTCGGATGGAAAAATGAAAATGAAAAATATCAAGTTGGCTCGGCTAATTTATAAACTTGAGTATGTACATGCAATGTGTATTTTTTTTATTTATCAAATTACTAATTGAACGCAATAACTAGTCAATTAAATTATTTTAATCAGTAAAAATCATTCTTATTTACAAAACACAGTTTCAACATAAAAATTGAGTCAGAACATTGAATATAAAAATTGGTAACAATCAATTCCAAAGTTGACCAATATCAACCATGACGCGTCAAATTTGACTTGTCTCAGCAAAGAAAGCAAGAAAGTAAAAAACCAAACATCATCATTTTTGATAATAGTTGGTGATAAAGACTGTTGACTTAAATACACAATTGCTTTTGACGTAAAGAAACAAATATAAAAGATTAGTCTATTTGTTAACTTTACATTGTGTCGTCTGTTGTATGTGTGTGATTATGTTTTGACTAAATACTTAACCTTTTTATATATCACAATTATTTTATAGAGAAGCAAAATATTTCCTTTACTTAATCTCTTAAAGAACAACCACAGTACAATAATTATATAGTTTAATCAAACAATCAATAGGAATTGTAAAGAGAATGGTATGTATATTTTGTATATAAATTAATAATATACCAAAGACTAGAATTAATGTGTGTTTAATTCTATTGATGAATTTATATATCAAACTAAAAAGTTCCTAAAATGTACTCACCATATAATGACCAACTTTTCTGGAACTAGTATGTTATAAATAGAGTTGACTGTATAAACTAACTTTGCTATTTAGAATATAATATGAGAAGTTGGTTCTTTTACCTTATTTTTTCCAGCATTTTCTTCTTTGCTAACTGTTCATGTTCATATCTTGAAAATATTTTGGCATCAATAAACATAGTCAAAGAACCAGATAGAACAATACTTAGTAATGGAAACTTATTTTTAAGAAATCTTATTAGAATTAATTTAGTGCAAAGCAGATGTGTTAATAAACTGAGTAATTTAAAATCACTACAAATAAAATGTCTTAGTCGAGTATATTTTATGTTCTTTAAATTTTCAAAGAACGAGCATGCTTTGTTTAAAATTGATACATAATGTGCCAATTTTGTCAACTTGAAATTTATTTACTTTATATGTATTTTCATATAAAAAAATAACTGAAAAAGTATGGTTTAGTGTTTAAGAAGGCCAAAGTTATTGTAGATGCTGAAAGTTGGTATTATTTATTTCGATTTGGTATACTATACACACCCTACAATAAATTACAGAAAAGCCAAAAATTTGAAATTATTTTATATTGAAAATTTATATTTTATTAGTAAATTTTTGTATCTTAACAGATTTTTTTGATCAATTTGAATATAAAATTTTTACAATCACTTTGTAAAAAGAATGTTTTAAGAAAAATATATGTTAAGTCATAAAACAGTACATATACTAATTTTCAATATAAATAATTTTTGGATTTTCAGTAATTTTATGTAAACTAAAAACGAAATTTAAATATAATGTATTAAGTACGGTTATATTCACTAATTTTTTTGGCTTGGTCAAAAAGCTGTTGATTTTTTAGATAAAAATTAATTATATATATACAATGGCACTCAAAAGTAATGCATTACTAGGACGAAAAAACGAATTGTGAAATTTTTAGCAATATAGATGCCACAAATAAATGAAACTTAGCCCATATACAGTTAAAAGCTAAATAAATAATACATACAATTTAAAGAATAAATGTAACATCACTTTGTTTAACTTGGACTTTATTACACCAAACTGATGATGCATTTCTTTTGATCATTTTCCTCCTCAAAACAAATATATAAATGGATAAAAAACACACAACAAAACAAAACACGTCTCCTATAAATAAAATACACTTATGAGTTTATTCTTTTATCTCGTATAATTAAAATTATTATGGCACATATTCCTGTCGAAAAAAGATCCCAAATTTATACCCTTCTTAAA